GTACATCTACTATATATGTGAACAATCCAACTAATTATTTTCAATAACATTCAATAAAGAAACTATAGGCCTTGCATTGTAATACTAACTTCATCTCTACTAAAAGGGTTTCCGGAATTCAAATTCGTTCTTTCCTCTAGAAAAGACAGGTAACCGCCATGCGTATTTAAATTAGAATTCTGTAACACTTTAAGGTTAGAAATTTACAATAGTTTATATAGTCACAGTGATAATTTAGCTATTGTACGATCACCCAACTTTAAGCCACAAGTTAGAGAATAAAAATTTTAAAGTTGACACACTATAGTCTACTAAGGGTGAAAGTTAAAAGGATCTCTGTTAGCTTTCTAAAAGAAATGGAGCTTTATTAATCATTTTCATCATATAATCCCTATAACTAGTAGGAAGAGGCAATAAATCAGACAAATCAATGACAATCTTGTCAAATCCTGGATGATGCCATTATTATGTGTAAATAAAGCATACAAAGGAGATGTTTCATTTCTTCCGACTAAGATCAGAGGTGAACCTGATAGACACACAGAGAGTATCCGGAAGTTGTCTTTCCAGATCCGAACAAATTGTTCACTCAGTAGAGTTAGGTTAAATTTTCTAATAGTGCTTCTACCGCAAAGCTAAAGCAATAATCAATACTTGACTGTTACCTAGATTCACCAAAAGGTTTAGTGATTGCTGAAGTTTCTTTCTTCCCTCCTTCAAAAGTTCACATAGAAGAAAGAACAGAATTAGGAGTGATTTTTTGTAAGTAAAAACAATGAGGATTCAATCATATATATGGGACCAAAAAGTTTACCTCTCAAGACATTATCCAAAGAATGGCTTCTAGTTGTGTTGCTAACAACTGCCTCCCTCTGTAACATATCCAAATAGGACAGACTCATTATGGCATGTCACACAAGCAAACGAATGAAAGAGTGGATGGACAAGGAAAACAAAAATAGTGATTTTATTTCTCACCACCTTGACCGTATTTAATTATTGAGTAACCTCTGTGGATTACTAATTATAATAGAATCAGTCCAACAAACTTTAGTAAGTTCATGTGTGCAGAGGAAAGAAAACATATACTTTGAGTAGAAGAGCATCTATTAGGTTTAGTAATATACCCTAACTAATGAAAAGAGAAAGTGAGTAGCAGTAGAAACATATGGTGTATCATCAACATGAATATGACTGACAATCAGAATTAAAGAGTGAACTTCTGTAACAATGACACTTATCAGAAGAACAGAGATTGAAGACATAGAACTTTATGCATAACAACATGAGTTGTTTTTTTTCCTTTTACCTTCTTCATATGCATTATCAAGCCATTGCAGGTGTAGATACCTGCCTCTTGAAACTTCTTCACATCCCCAACATTGATTCCGGGAGAGATCACTGAATAAATTTTGAACAAACTTCGAATTCAACTTTCAATCATTTTTGGAAGTTTATCAGAATCTTACATGAATTTATATTTGCAGCACACACTACAGCATCATCCTATACCTCAAAGTAGACAGACATCAGGAGGAACATAATACTACAAATTTTATTTGAACTCTACTAAAATACATTCACAACATCTTAAAATTAAAGGATTATGATACATATGATCAGCAATGAAAATCTAACAAGCAGAAGAGAAACCTGAAACATTGCAAATTATGCTATAAAGATGAGATCAAAACAGAGAGATACACAAGGCGCTGATGAAAAATAGGATCACACTATATAAAATAACGAGCCATCACTATGAGAAACGCAGAAAACAATCTATTATCTCAAATTAATGTGAGCTTTCTTTGATATTTATGTTATTCAGAAATTTTATCTCCAAACCACAGCTAAATATTTTGTTGACGCATATGAAAATCTTATATCTCCACTATAGAAGTAAGTAGAGGAAACTGGAAACCCTAACATTCTCCACTAAGATAAGGTCAACAAACGCACACTAGCATTGATTGAATTTTTGGACAAATGGCTTGAATTATGAGGAAACGGAAACTATATTCACAAAACAAAAGCGCAGCTGAAAAAAGTGAAATTCAAAAGAAAATTTCTTACGTTTATCCGTAGCTTCAACTAGCTGCAACACTTTTTCAGATCTGAAATCAAATACACATTAGAATCAGAGAAAAATAACAAACTAAATCTATCAAAAACACGAATTGAAAATTTACTTGAATTGTGTCATTTTCAGCATGGAGAGAGTATGCAGAGATATTGAGACTATAGCTGATTCGCTCGATGAAGAAGATGGTGGTGTTTCGCATGCGTTTTGAAATATCAAATTTTTACTGCTTTATAAGAAACCGGAACCCGGGAAGTTGAATTAGTTGAAATGTAACTGCGTTTTGAGTTCCCATGTTCGGTTCATCCACAAATATTTTTATTGATTCACATATATTTTTATTATTATTAAAAAAATGACTTACATGTATGGTTACCGCTTCAAAGTTAAAAAATTTAAATTTAAATTAACTTTTAGAAAGTTATGTATTTTATCTTTTGCACATATAAATTATTTTTTTATTTATTTAATTATTATTATTTGAATTTTTATTTTTTTGTTCATTTTTTAGTATAAAAATAACATAAATTAAAAGAAAAAGTGTGAATGGAAAAAGATTTAAAAGTTCTAAAAATATATCTTTTTACAACTATATGTAATTTTAGTTTTAATATCCGTAAAAACAATGTTGGAATTGAAATTAAGAAAGTCAGTGAAGAGGAGAAAGAAGCTAAGGAAGCTCAAGTTTTGACTACTTGGAAGCTTCTCAATCAAATGAAATTCAGATACAATATTGGGTCTATATCTTAGTTGGTCCAAATGCAGAATTTTCAACCAAAAGTTAATGTCTCAGCCCAACAACAAATGAAGACCCATAATTCAATTCTTGACAGCCTTATTTGAGATATGATTTGGACAAATAAATGAGGACAAATGGATGAACATTAGGCAACAAATATGCAGATTTCTATGTAACAGATTTGTGTATTTCTTGTACGAAATAGTACACACACATCTGTATAATTTTGTAGTGAAGTGATAGCCAATTAAAATTCATACACGTAAAAGAGTTATTTTGTTTTCTTCTTTTGGATATTTTGTACATATACATCATGGATAAATGAATGAAAGGCAAGAAAAAGTTTTCCTTTTATACTCTCTAAATTTCCACATGGTATCAGAGCAAGTCTGAGATCCTCTTTCTCTGTTAGCTTTTCTTCTTTTCCATTTTTCTCACTATTCTTCATTTTCACTGTAACGACCCGCTAGGTCGTTTTGAAAACTAGGACTAGTTTGACTCCATTTAAAAATTTAAAGGGATATTTTTAAACTATTAGATAACTATGAGTACCCAATTGATGAAACTTTTATTAAATAAGTAATATAGATAATAGGTTAGTGGGGTTTCACGGTTAATAAACTCTTGTTTAGAAAAAAAAATGGAAGCGAAACCTTACCACAGGCGACCAGCGAGAGGGAGAAAAATCATAGCCATTGTTCAGGTAAAGATATGAGATATTCGTTCTTTTCAATTCTATATATAGTAATATATTGTCGGAGTGCTTGGGATTATGTTATTATTTTATGCTATATTGATAATGGGTGATAAGAAATAATGGGTAAGTTGGTGATGATTACTAAATTATATTACATTGTTAGCAATTGTGTTAGTATTCAAATATATATATATATATATATATATATAAATCGATCGAAGTCGAATAGTTGAACGACTGCAGGTTAATATTTTCTGTGATTTTTGTCAAAAGAATTTATTATATATATTGTTAGTTTCAGAATGGTAGGAATAAGATTGAGCAGTCATTGTCAATGATTGCCAATGATTGGAATTTGATAAATATTCTAGAAAATTGGCACTTATTTACAAATGAGTTTCTGCAAAAAAAAAAATTAATAATAATAATGTATACAATGATAATAGATTTTTTAATTGGTAATTAATTATTAGGTGTTATTTTATATGATCTAACATTGAATTTTAGTCCATTTGAAGAGGTTAGAGTTAAGTTCTTGGCTTGAAATTTAGCAAGTATGAAAAATTTGGCATTCCAATATATATCAAGATTT